TCTCACCTAGACGGGAGAGTTCAGATTAGACAACAAACAAATCTTTCCAGAAAACTACAAGTACATAATGATAGTCTTAATGCAGAATTCTATTTACAACTACTATTCATGTTCTCAACTTTATGTCCTGTTGATGACTAACAATGGAGACCGACCAACAGTTAAAGCTGTTAAAAATGTTGTGACATGGGGGATTTAGATGATAAATTATGTCCTCTGAAGCAAACTAGGCCAAGAGCAGAGAATGTATTTTATCTGTCTCTATAATTTCTAAGCATTATTATTATGAGTATATACCTTTTAGGAATAAATCAACTTATTGGTGGAAAAAATTAACATAAAAAGCATTACAAAACTCACCCTTTCCTTGTCTTCCCTGGTTCTCATTCTTTCACCATAGACCAAAAAGACATGCTGACCAGGATCATAACAGCCAGGGGACTGGTCAACCAACATCAACTGACACCAGCGGAACAGGTCTCGGAGGTTAAATTCCCAGGGACCTCCTCTTTGTCCCCATTTCTTCTCAACGGTCACTTCATGATCAATCTAGAAAGGAAGTTTCCTTATTGAGAAACATGTCTACCAGGCAGTGCAATTAAGTATAATCACTGAACTACAAATGTGTACAGAATCTAAAATAGATATTAATAGATTTGATTTGGGTATCTTCTTTCATCTCAGATGTTTTACCAAGATTAAGAAATGTTACTGTTACCCTCAATTGAGTAGTAAGCCTTTCAGACGAATTCTATGATTTACTTTTGTGATACAGGATAGTAATTTGATACAGTACTATACTGAGTAAATATTGATTCAAAACTAATTCAAGCAAGTACTTACATGGTTATTAAAAGCTACCATTTTCTTAACAATATTTTTGTTAATGGCGGGAAACAAAGTACTGGCAATAAATTCCATGTCAATCACTGTAAGGGGATCCACAAAAACCTAGAAAGCCCAAGCAAAACATGATAAAATGCCATTATTTTCCTTCACAAAATGGTGTGTCATGCTATATGAAATCTTTATTTGTACCCAGTAACAATAATTGAGTAACAATACGTAGTTCTAGCAATAATTGAGTAACAAAGGTGACTTTTAATTTTAAATTGATCCTACCTTAGTTCCAAGTATGCACCACTTCCCTCAACTGTCTTACAAGTTCCTACTACTCCATTTTTAAGAAAAGGATTCATGAAATGTTCAAAGTAAACAGCATCAGATTTGCCTTTAGTTCTAGGCTTGTGCAGATAAAGATACATGTAGCCAGGCAGAGGTGGTTCATGCCTGTAATCCTAGCTACTCACCAGGCTGACATCTGAGGATTGCAGTTCAATGCCAGACTGGGCAGGAAGTCCTTAAGATTCTCATTTTCAAGTAAGCACAAAAAAGCTATAAAAGGACCTGTTGCTCAAATGGTAGACTGCTAACCTTGAGTGCAAAATCTCAGAGACAGTGCCTAGTCTCTGAGGTTCAAGCTTCAGGATCAGCAAACAGACAAAGAAAAACGACCTATGCAACTTATTTTTAAAAGAAACGGACCTAAAATACATTCTATATAATTTTAAACTATTTTCAAAATTCTGGATGGCAGTGTATGAAGGTTTCCTGTAAAATTCACTACACTTTTCAACGCTGAATTATGAAAATTTTCATAATACAACACTAAAAGCTATAAACCAGTCATGGTATTCCATGGCTTGTAATCCTAGCACTTGTGGAGCCAAGTCAAGGCAAGCACAGTTATACAGTAGGATTCTGTCTGAAAAACGATACCCAGAAAGTTCTTTATCAACAAGGGAAGAGGTCATTAAGAAATATTTGGAGTTTCTTCTAAAATCTCTAGAATAGACAAACTCTGAAAACAGCTTTAATTACTACAAAGCATGTGCATATGCCAGAAAGCATGTGTACATACACTGCTATCTGCAAACAGAAATACAGGCATAAGAAAAGACTCTAGTTCAGTAATGGTAAGGTGGAGAATACTGTATATTTTTATCATTCATGGTAGTTTTCTATTTTTTATTTCTTTTCTTTAAAATTATATATGTTAATATAAAATACATTACTTATTAGTATATTAAACTTTACAAGTCTGGTCATTCTCTTCCAAATGTGAGAAAGACACCAACTTCTTCAAGTCAGAGAGAAAAACATTCATACCAGGAGGGAAGTGATGATGGGAATCAGTCACATTAATACTCATCACATAAATTTTTTTTCTACCTTTGGTCTCCACAGCAACAGTGAATCTTACCTGAGTGAATCTGTTAAGAAAAGACCTGGGTAAGCCCTTTCTCCCGCCTCCTTGTCTGAAAGGATTCTGACACCCAAAAATCTTTGTCTTCTCATGCTGTACTTGAAAGCTCATTCCTAACTCAGGCACATAGATTTCTCCTCGATGGTCAAAACAAGCATTAAGTCCTTCCAGTACAGACTGAGAAGCCAGGTTAAGCTATTAGTGAAAAAAGTATACATATTTGTTTTAAAGCAAGGAAGTAATACATAGGAAAGTAACAGAGTATTATCTTCATAAGATAAATAAAAACACTATTTGTTATTTAGTTTCTTAAACCAACTGATGAAATGATGTAAACATTCTATTATTTATTTCACATTCATGGTGAGGGATTCTGGATGCTTAACATATACACGAATATATGTTAAAAAGAATACATGTTCAGATTGAACTAAAAGTTAAATCTTCACTAAGTAGCACTTTTCTCATTTTAATCATTTCAATTCCACAATAGTAGTTCCTCCCCTAACTAACACGGTATATCACAAATAGACCCAACTTCTTAATTCAAACTATCTACCAGATAGAAAGATTTGGTATTTATTGTGCCTATGAATGTACTTTTTCTTCAGATCAATAATTTTGGTCAATATGCAACTATAACTCTAACCATTTACTCATCATTGTTGTATTACATAATGTTTATCCAGTTTCTTTGGCATGTTAACAAAACATGAAGTAGTTGATACTATTTGTAAAATACCTGTGAAATAAGTTCAACTTCAGTAAACCTATCAGAGATGTGAGAACAAATTAGCCAAAATGCAGTTTTTCTCTGAAGGATTGCTTTAAAGTTCGGAGCATTATATAGGTTGTATGAAGAAGCAAGTTTTGTATGTGTTTGGTCATGTGATCTTAAATGACACCAGGAAGGATCTTTTCATAGTTATGCCTTTATTGGTCACTAGCATGTCCATCCACTAAGAAATTATCCAGAGTTGAGACAAGTAGGACCATTCCTCACATGGCAATTCCAACCGGGGCCTGAGGACAGGATGCTCACCTCATCTAACACCACCCAATCTCCTGCCTTCAAAGCTGCCAGCAACGGGCCATCACGCCAGGCAAATTCTCCTCCCTTGCCACCTTCAACAGGTAGATCTGCTCCAAAGAGATCAGTGATGTCCTTTGATAGGAAGAAGAAATGAGGAAAAGTATTACAAAAAACCATCAAACAAACAGCAAATACACTGTAAGACCTAAATCTGAAATGATAAATGCTTGGGTAGGCCTCAGGTCACTATACTTTTTTCTTGCACTCAAGACAGAACTATTTGCCCCCAGTAATCTTTACCTGGAGCTCACACACATTCTAAGCACCTTCAGAATACAATGGACTAAGCAACAATCACTTGCTCAGATTAATTTATGGCAATTGTGTGCTTTAAAACAAACAATAAAAATAATAATGCCTAGGGCTGGGAAGGTGGCTCAGTGGTAGAGCACTTGCCTTGTATGCTCGAGGCCCTGGGTTCGATTCCTCAGCACCACATAAGAAAAAAGCTGGAAGTGGTGCTGTGGCTCAAGTGGTAGAGTGCTAGCCTTGAGCTGAAATGCTGGGGGACAGCGCCCAGGCCCAGAGTTCAGGCCCCACCACCGACAAAAAAAAAAAAAAAAGCACTATGAAGACACCATAGCAGGTGTACCATATTCAAAATAAAAATATTAAAATAAATAGTTGAAGCAAGGA